GTCCCCTCAGATTATGTGTGGTCATATGCCTACAAAGTTGCGTGGTGATGGGTGAAACCCTTGAGATGTTATACACCTTTATGTGATGAGCCACGCCCTCCGCAATATTCATTGCCTTATAGAAGCTCAGTTTTAGTAAGTTTTCCAACTTTTGCCAAGAGGGAACTTTAGATATTGGTCCCTAGATTACGTTCACCCAGTTTCATGCAGATCGCTCAAACTTCCTAGGAAGAGATCCATTTGAAGTGTTTTTCAAAAAATTCAAAATGGCGGAAAATCAATATGCGTGGAAGTTATGGGTTCTTGAGGCAAATGTGTTCCTCATGAGGAGAGGCATCTCTGTGCAAAGTTTCATGTCTCTACGACATACGGGGCATGAGATATGCCCATTCAAAGTTTGCAATTTCAATCAGTTGCTATAGCGCCCCCCTTTGGCCAATTGATGTAATATTGCTTCATTGGCATCCTCCCATGACCCTCTACCACTGTGCCAAATTTCACATGGATTGACCAAGTCAGTGAGGAGAAAAACATGGAACAGACAGAGTTTTCGTCATTATATAGTACAGTAAGGTAACAGTGAAACAAAGAGCGACCCTGCTGTACAGGAACCAATGAAGGTAAGCAGGGAAACTTTGCTGATATTGAACCAGCTGTGTGCCATCACAGTGTGCGCAGATGAACGTTGTTTGACTTCCCCCAGAGATCCCTGAGGTCCAGGTGCTGGCAGCAGCCAAACACAGTTCATCTGCACACACTGTGATGCCACACAGCTGGTTCAACATCAGCAAAGTTTCCCTTTATATTCATTGTCTTGTGTGGCGATCAGCAGTGATGTGGTGGTTCACTTTTACACTGTGATCTGTAGTTCGGCTTTAGCTTCTAACTATCTTTGTCTTTTTAACCTGTTGTTGCTGCTGAGTCAGTTTGACATCCTGGATATATCCTTCAAACACAGACTGTAGACCCCTCTGTCTGCTTCTCTCTGGAATCACTCTTTCATTTCTCCAATTATATGATAATACTTCATCAGGGAGTGCAGTTAGTTACAGTGTGGGCTCCATGTTTACTCTGACAGCTTGACCATCACAAACTTGACTTGGTTGTTTCTTGGGATTTCCATTAGTCTTGTATTTCCATTATTATCTACAGGAGATTTATGAAAGTGATTTGATGTAAATTATGAAAAGAAACGTATTTAATATCAGCTGTGAGGTCGTCTCTGTCTTGTTTGCAGTTTAATGTGATTTATCAGACCAGAGATGAGGATGTAGTGACACTGCATTAATGAAGTAACACGTATCAGTAACATTTGCGTGTGCTGCTGTCAGAGAGGTTTGTAAATCACTCTCTGTAGCAGTCACTGGATAGACTTGTGTGTGTGATGTCATGGAGGCAGCCTGGCGTCCGGTAAGGCCCCCTGACTCTCTGCCTCGCTGAGTGGATGCTGACACTGGAACACTCCCTGTGTGTTTGTGTATGTGTGATGATGAACTGAGATAAGATCCATTCACTGAGTGGGAAATGAGCTCAGCTGTCAGCTTTAGCCAACAATCTGTCTGCGACAACAGAGATCACGCTGCGGTGAGCACGACGGGACCGTCTGTGACACTATAGAGACTTTAACTTCTGAAAGATGTTAATAACACATTCGTCCTCTTACAAATGAAGAGTTGAGCTCATGAGCAGTGACACTTTATTGTCGATCTAACATTTGCACTTTATTATGTCGCAGATTTGTTGAAACTGTATTCAACAAAACTGTAGTTAAGGTGTGGTTACGTTTAAGCACAAACATTGTGACATGTTTTGGTTAAAACACCTGGTTTCAGGGGGACAATCCCGACTGGAAACACAGAGATGACTCACTAAAAAATTACAGGTTTTGCTGTTTGTTGGTTTTGACCAGTGGTCTACAATTATCTGCAGCTTGGGTGACACGCCATCCACCATCCCCTCCACCTCCTCATGATAAAGCCTGCTCATACACTACATCTTTGCAACCCTTGATATGATATGTATAGAATTTAAAAACAAAATAACATAGGTGTAGTTTAGATACATAAGAACGTATCTCTACCAATGCTCATAGCTGGAATCTAATCCCAGTACAAAATGATGATTTAGAGGTATATCAATCCCAAATATTTTCTTAATCTCTCTTTGGACTGAGCGCCAGAAATTGACAATTTTAGGGCACGACCACATGAGATGATTACTGTATAAGTGCCACATTCAACTCAAATTGTGAAAAAGATTTTAGGGCGCATTCACACCAGGATAGTCCGGGGGACTTGGTTCGATTGAATGCTGAAAAATTTCACACCTTCATTTGGTTCGGTTCACTTTCACATTGCACTTTTTAAAGCAGACCAAACCTCCTGGACAGCGGCACGCAGTTACAACAGCTGTGCGTTTGGGGGCGGTATTGCCCGAAACGAACACTGACCAGGAAGAAAAAAAGCATCCTCTTCAGCCTGCTTGGTCACCACAAAAGCACCAAACACCAAAATGTGCTGTGCTCTACGTCACTTCCTCTCTTTGGTTTGCTGGATAGTCCGTTTGCATTTCCCATTGTAGGCGAACCTCACCAGGGTTCACTTGGAAGTGAATCGAGACCCCCCCCCCCGTTTTCAAGCGTACCAGGGTTCGCTCGTTTGGTCCGCACCAGAGGTCGAATGAGCATTCACACCACTCCAAACGAACCGAACTATCTGTGGAAACGGACCAGGGTTCGTTTAAAGCGGACAAGGGTTCGCTCGTTTGGTCCGCACCAGAGGTCAAATGAGCATTCACACCACTCCAAACGAACCGAACTATCTGTGGAAGTGGACCAGGGTTCATTTAAAGCGGACCAAATGTGAATGCGTCCTGAGAGTCCCATCTGAAAAGTTGGACTGTTGATTGGAAAAAATAAAGCATTGTGAAGGTGTGACTTTGGTTCTTGTGACATATTTCCTCACTATTTTCAGAATTTTTACAAACCAATCAATTGATTAATGGAAGAAATGATCAACAGATTAATCCATGACGAAAATAATCTTTAGTTAATAGTTCACAATGAGCTCTTCCTCAGCCAACTATAAAAGTAAAATCCTTCTTTTACATTAATGCATGAGTCAGAATCATCTAATGATGTCATATAAAACAGTGTAACAGTCACAGAGGACATTTTTATATGTTTAATACTTGAAGTACATTTTTCCTGGTTATACTTGTGTACTTTTACTTCGGGGACATTTTAAATGCAGGACTTCTACAGTGTGGGATTATACATTTTGTTCATGTAAAGGCTGTGAACACTTCCTCCAGTGCTGGTTTGTGAGTGAACACGGATGCAAAACTACACCGTCAGCCTGTTCCTTTGCCCTTTGTGCGTCTGTGTGTGTGTGTGTGTTTATACTTTGTAGAGAATATTGTGGGTTAATAGGCACATGAGCCGAGGGTAATTGGAGAGCGCTCATCCTGTGTGACTGTGTGGGTATCTGTTGAAACACATGGGTGTGGCAGACTGAAGCTGTGCTCTGCAATCATGAAATCAGAGACACACACAGTCGATCTGCTTTCCTGCCTCTCATATGTTTCATCCCTTCATCTCCCCTCATACATATTTCCCTCTGAATATTGAGATGCGTTCACTGTATCGACACGTTGGCACAGAGCGAACCTTCTGATCAAACAGATAGAGTAAATCCCTTGTGTGTACGCTCGGATGTGATTTGGCAGCCTGGTTACTCTTGGCTTGTGTTGTTTGACCAAGCGGACATGTTGAAGACTTTTCACCCTCAAACCTACTGTTTAAAATTTATTGTGGCTCTTGTTTAGCTTCTCAAACAGCTTGCCAAATAAATATACCCTAGTTTTTTTTTGCAGCTATTAACATACAAGCCCTGAAGGATTTATTCAACTTATCTCTCATTGCAGGGATTCACAGAGACGCTATGACACATAACAGCTTCTGACTGATGCTCAACCCAAATAATAAATAGGCTAAAATAAGCTCTGAGTTATCAAAGATATGTAATTAGCTGCTTTACAATAATTCAGGCTTTTCTTTGCACTTAGACACAGCAAAGGCTTTTACTATTTTGGAATCTGTTTGGTGTCTTTTTGATAATTAAAACTGAAGTAAATATTATCATTGTTATTATTATTTTCTCCAAAAAGAAGCACATTCTTCAGGGGCTTAGGGTACTTGAACAGGTCACATAATGGCCCAGTAGTGCCCCCCACAAAATTTCAACAAAGCAGCCCCCAAAGCTGGTTTCACTGACATGTACGAAAATTGGTAGGCACATGTGACCCCCCAAGATGTACAAAAAAGCCTCTTGGAGCCATACTCTAAACCCAACAGGAAGTCCGACATTTTGAATTGTATGTGTAACTTCCATGTTTCAAACTTCACAGGATTAATGACAGTCTCGTTCTGAACACATCTACATGTGTGATAGGTACAGCGTCATCTACTGGCAACAAGAAAAGGCATGTTGTTGACGAGATTCACCTCAGATTTAGCCAAAACAGCCGTAAGACCTTGGTGATGGTTTAGCACCCCAGAGTTGCGCAGAGGGCCCGTTTAAATTTTCTTTGTTGTCCTGTGCCAGTAGTCACCCTCACCATCCTCTTCCTCTCTCTGTGTCCCCTTGCAGACGGATGTAAATGCCTGTTACCTGCGATCAGCTCGGGCCGGGAACCTAGAGAAAGCTTTGGACTACCTGAAGAATGGAGTCGACATCAATATTTGCAACCAGGTGAGCTTGGAAGAAAAAAAATCACTTCAACACCACTGCTTCTGTAATTAAACTCACAATAGTAATTTGTTTGCTCTGGTTGTCAAAGAACGAAGTTGGTAGAGATCTTAAAGTGATCAGACGTGAGCTAAATCCACTTTTCTACTGTCCAAATGTTGAGTTGTGTCCCCAAAAATATGGCTAAATGCACTGCTTCCCTGTCACACTGTTGCCCTCGTTGGAGTTCCAAACCAAGCTAAAAATGGAGTATTAATCACAGGAGTAGTTTGCATTGGTCCAGGGGAACTGGTGCAGCCACAGGGTCCAGATTTCTCCTTCGTCATTAGTTCAAGGTCCACACAGTTTAATGCATTCAGCATCATACTTGCGTTTGGCAATGTTGTTGAGATAGCTTGCTGTCTCTGTCATGTAGTCACTCACTCTACAGCAGGAAATAACACTTCAAAATAAAAGCTCTGTGCTGGAAATTCACTGTACTTAAAAATAAAGTGTGTTTTTTACAAACTTGACACATTTGCGAGTCACAGAGACCCACTTTTGGGAACCACTGTACTAAACCTCCAAGTGGCTGGAGCAAAAAATGCATTTAGGGATTTAAATATTATCTATTTTTTATTTTATAATAACACAGACCGTATTAGACACCATAGAGAAGGTCTGTCAACGAGTCTGCGAGGCTCATCTCTGGAGAAACATTCCTTGGACACATACACATCCAGGATATTATCTGGTTTACTGTCCTGTTTTGTAGTAATTCTCACAATATTCCATCACTCATGTTGCTTATTAGTCAGGATATACGGATTTATTCATAAATCCAGTCTGACACTCCATTAAAGTGCTGTTGTTAGAGGAAACAGACTTAACAAAGTGTTAAAACAGATGAAAGAAATGCTTCTCTGTTGATATGAGGGGCTATAATACAGAATGTAGCACCACTTTTGTGGGAGCTTGTTGACAGTGAAGATGATGATGTCACTGATGATTATTATGAGACATGATATAGACTGTAAGAATATGCCTATGAAAATAAATTACAAACTTAGTGTTGAATCATTTCATTTTGTGCCATTTCGAGGCTTTTCCATTCCAATGCTACAGTAAAATTGACCTATATTCCAACATTCATTCATTCATTCATTCTCCATAACCGCTTATCCTGTTAGTGGTCGCAGGGGTGCTGGAGCCTATCCCAGATGACACTGAGCGAGAGGCAGGGTTCACCCTGGACAGGTCACCAGACTATCACAGGGCTGACACATAGAGACAGACAACCATTCACACTCACATTCACACCTATGGACAATTTAGAGTCACCACCAGTCTTGACACAGGGAGAACATGCAGGCTCTGCACAGAGGGGCTCCTCCATCTCGGGATTCAAACCGTACCAAACTGATTCGAGCCAGGAACCCTCCTGCTGTGAGGTGACAATGCTAACCACTGCACCCCCGTGCCACCCCTATATTTCAACAGGGCTCCAAATTTAAAGAGTATCCTCTGGCGCTCGGAGCGACTATTAATGAACACCCAATGCACCTGCTCGTAGCCACAAGTGTGAACAAAGCATCTGCTGTACACATTAATAATCAGACAACAATTTGGTGGCCCCCTGCAGTAACCCTGAGGACCCCCTGTTGAAGACCTAGGAGTTAACATTTATTGTAGCACCACAATCTAAACTATTGACATCCCCATCAGCCTCTGCTGCACTTGTATTTATTGCTAATAAGCAGAGTTAGCATGCTAACGCCCTCAATGGTCGCCATCTTGGCTACGTAGCGGAAGGGGAGGGACCACTTTTCAAACTGGAAATAGCGGCCGAGGACTGTGCGACCATAAACTTCACAGCATTGTACAAATACATGTGTTTTTTGCACTAAGCACCACTATGCTGTTGTTGGGTATAAGCCAGCAGTATGTTTATTGGGTTAATTTAGCAGAGCGATAACGCGAATGCTAATGCTAGTTTGCTAACTAGCCAATTTGCGGTTGTCATTTCCGGTGAGTGCACAACGGCAGTGTTTGGATTGAGACAACACTACCCTGTCGAAATTAGCACACTACGCCAATAAGTACATAGTGCACATAGTATACTACGTGGAAGTGTACTAACGGAAGTATGTGATTTGAGACACACCACTGCATAACATCAGAATGTTAGCATTGTCATTGTTAGCATGTTAGCATGCAGATGTTAGCTTTTAGCTCAAAGCACTACTGTGCCTTTTTTCCACTTAAATCTTTATTAAAACAAATTTTGTGACACTGACATGTCAGTAACAACAGAATGTTAAAATAATTGAAAAATAATAAGAGCTAACGAAACACATTTTTACAGCCTCGAGGATTAGTGTATCTATTGATTATTATTCCATTCCATCGTCCTCTTTTTGAGTCCAGTATAGAGTCGATTTTTCCCATTTTCTTTCTAGTTGTGCTTCCTGTAGTCTCAGTATGTGTGCTAATTTCTCCATGAAAAATATTTCTTCCACAATTGTCAGCCATCGATCCTTCGTTGGTGGTGTTTCTTTACCCCAGTTCCCAGTGATAGCTTTCTTGCTTGCTACTAGCAATACTTTGATCAAATATTTATCACTAGCAGTAACATTTTCTTCAGAAAATTTACATAGATAAAGTACCAAACCTCATATCCTGGTATGTGCTTAAGGTGTTGTCATACCATTTCCCAAAATACAGTTATTTTATGACATTTGCAAAAAAAAGGAGAGTGGTCTACACCAAAAAGCACCACCGTGCCTTAATTTGCACAGCCTCACACATCTTTCTTTTTCCTTTATCTGGACATCTTTTTTACTGTGAGTCTTCTGTTGATAAAATCTGACTTATTGTACAGACAGATGGAGCATCACTGTATCTGAGCAGCCAGAGTGGACACTAACTTCATCTGCTGTTGACAGTGTTTTAAAGTATACTTTAATGGATAAGACTGCGAATTTCAAAAGTTTTCTTCTTGCCAACAGTTCCCATGAAAAGACCAAACCCCAACAACTAATGCATCCTACTAATGAGTAGCATCTGTGCGTTCAAAGCCTGAGCTGCCTCCTCTTATTCCATTGTCCAAATTTGAACCATTTATTTTGGGTTTATATATTAAAAAGGTTTGGATCAAAGTTCTGATAACATCCAGTGTCACTCAGTAAACAACAAACAGAACCCTGAGCTATTTAAATAAAGGTTATAATATGTAAACAGGGTTTAATGTGTTGATTTTAAAAGCTTCTTTCTCTTCTCTCCCTCCAGAACGGACTAAATGCTCTCCATCTGGCCTCCAAGGAGGGCCATGTGGAGGTGGTGGCTGAGCTCATCAAGCACGGCGCCAACGTGGATGCAGCGACTAAGGTGTGTGTGCCACCCAGGAGTCACACAAACACACACACACACACACATTCTGTAGTTTGCTTCGTCAGCTTCTTCCCAAAGTCACTTTGCTTAAGCAGCAGTGAGGGAGATGAGTGGCTGTGTGTTAGAAACAGAGCGGCTGAGTGAACTGATTTAGTGAAAGGAAACAGTCTCGTCTCATTGTCGTGTGTGTGTGTGTGTGTGTGTGTGTGTGTGTGTGTGTGTGTGTGACAGTGTCTCAGACATAAATGTTTGTAAATTATGTGACAGTGATAAAATTCCACACAGTAAATGCATCCATCAAGAGGAAAAGCAATTACACTCGTTCTTCTTCTGGAGCCGCTCTGCATAAAGAAACATACACATTATTACAGCAGAGGTTTTAATCCAATAACGTCATATTTAATTTTTAGGGCTGTAAAGCAATTAAAACAGAACAATCTAATTAATTGTCAGTGTCAGTGTATAATTACTTTGATTTAAACAGCCAAAAAGTTGGTTACACACGTCTACATGAAACTGTACTACAGTCTAGTAGCATGAGAGGAACAGGAGATACAGCAGTACAGATTGAGGAATGAGGGGAGGTGTGTATGTGGAGTTTCCAGTGACAGCAGCTGCTGTTTAGCTGCTTTAGCTGACACACACACGACAGGTGCGTCCATTAGAGGTTCAGTATGTGCGACTCATAACCACCCTCACATTTTATACATTCTCCTCTCTGCTTCTGTCACAAAATTATACTGTAACACAGTGTTTTATTCAGTATATACCTCTCACAGTTTCTCCTCTGCTGTACCTTTCTATAACCTCACAGTAAGAAGTGTTGATAATAATAATAATGTCTCAGTATTATGTAACAGAAAGTAAAACACTGACATGCTCTCTGAGTTAGGGGTGTATACTGGAAGAAATACAAGTAGGATTGTACCCGAATCAGAATTATGCCAGTCAAATTAGATTTGGCTGTTCAATACAAATATTCGACGATTTTTTTTTTTTTTTTAATATAAAGTTTTGAATTTGAATGTGCTCTGCAGGTCGTTCACTGTGACAGCAGCATTCACGTTATGTAGTTAACAAGCTAACTGCGCTAACAACCGATTGGAAATGTGCAACACCATTTTTTCTGCCACTAGATATCAAACAAAAGCCAGAGACTGTGTCGTGTTAAGTATCTGGAATCTCATTTTCAAGTAAAAGTTTTGGAACGACAGCTCTGATTTGGGGGCTTTAGAGGCTGTAAACAGGAAGTGGCCGTGGAGTCAGTTGGTTAGTCAGCCTATATTTGTTTACATTTGGCAAACAAACACCAATTGAAATATGCCAAATTAGCTATTAGCACTTCCTGTTTATTCATTTGATACCGAGGAAACTTAAAAACATGATGATTCTCAGGCAGGTTCTGAAGCTATAAGGAGCATCCAGTTTCTATGGTTTCTAAGCAACAATATAGTATATATATATTAACGAACAGCAGAGATACTGATGTCTTTAAGGGAGATGAAGTCACACTGTGCCTATACATACATGTGTCATATCTGTGTTTTGTCATTTTGTTTCCCAAGCAGAAAGGAAACACAGCCCTCCACATAGCTTCCCTCGCTGGGCAGACAGAGGTGGTGAAGGAACTGGTCACTCACAATGCCAATGTCAACGCACAGTCTCAGGTAAGACACATACACACTCACGCACTGATTCTTGTAGTTCTATCTTTGTTAGGACCCTCATTGACATAATGCATTCTCTAGCCCCTTGCCCTAAACTAAAGCCCAATCCCAATACCCCCCCTTGTCCACCGCCTCTTGGCCCTCGAAATAAAGCAACGAGGGGTAGGGGTAGAAATCTTTCCCAAGGAATTGGGACACCACTCACTACGTCACCGCTTCAGTTACGTTCACGCATATGTAACTATTTTAAACAGGAAGCTGTGAGCCATCTACATTTCCAACTGGCATCTACAATGGAGTCTCCGGTTGAGTTCATCCTACCTATTGTGTTTGCTGTATTCATCATGCTTCGTTTGATGAACGAGAGACGACGGGACTTTTGCTACCTAGCTAGCAAGCTAACCAGCTAACGTTACGAGGCAGCACAGTTATACTAGCTGTCGTGTTATCGTAATGTGAAAAACTCCGACAGTTTTGCAGAACAGGACAGATGACAGACGCCAGATAGTGCAAGCTAGCTAGCTAGCTAACAAGCAACCTGACGACGGTAACGTTAGCAATGTATAAACTTTTTCCCCCGTCTCTTGCTCGGTGGTAGCCATGGCGACGTCGACCCTTCGCTGGCAAGTCAGCATCTGAAATCCCTCGCTCCGAAGGGCTAGTTTCATACCCACTACCCCTCGTTATGCCCCTTACCCCTACACGCAAGCAGGAATTGGGACACCTCTACCCCTCGCGGGAACGCGCAAATGTAGGGGTAGGGCCAAGGTGTAGGGCTAAGGGGTGGTATTGGGACGGGCCCTAACTCTAACCTGAACCCTTAAACCAAGTCTTAACCCTTAAACAGGCCTTTGCAAAGTGAGGACCGGCCAAAATGTCCTCACTTTGCAAAAATGTCCTCACTCTGTTGCTAGAATACAGTTTTTTGGTTCTCACTATGTAGCATGTACAAGTACACACACACACACACACACACACACGCACCAGTGCAGGTCTCTAACTGTGAAATTGTCAAATCATTTTTGTTGGAAATCCAACAAAAATGAGTGTGTGAGTTCATGCAGATGAATATACAGCGATTATACACACCGTCCATCTGTGTGTGTGTGTGTGTGTGTGTGTGTGTGTGTGTGTGTGTGCTGTGTCAGCAGCTCTGCAGTGCTTCCTGGCCCACATTCATCGTCAGCACACACACTTTCACACACTCACTCACATACACACCCTGCTCTGGTCGCCACAGCAACCATAACAATGTCAAAGCTTTGGTTGGAGCTGTACGGAGGAAGAAAATAAAGTTGATACTGATGAACTATGATGTTTTAGTTCTGTATTAAAACTCATTAAATCATCATTTATCATTTTATTTTTGTTTTATCCTAAAAAAATAATTTACATTACAGCACTTAAAGGAGAGCAGAGCGCAGGGACAGATTATATAAAATTAACAAATCATAAAAAGCAAAACATTTTTAACATAATGTGCAGATGTTACTGTCTCTATGTAGTGAGGAGTTTCTGTTTAATTGTCACTTTCAGCCGTGCAGAGTCAAACCATGCTGCGCCAATTTGCGTTTCCCTTTGTCAGTTTAAGCATGCCGAGAAAGTGGGGATATTTATCTCCCAGAATGCTACACTGCAAACTATTTCTGTACCATTGCAAAAGCCACCTTATAGACCAAATCACAATGTTTGGTTGCAGTAACTTTGGGTAGAAAACCCTTGTGTCACATACACAAAATGAAACAGCGCTGAGCAAACGCTGCCTCAATTGGTTAGTTTTTAGCCACCTAACAAAGGGCACACTTAAAAAGAAATCAATATCAGTTTAAGTGTGTGCTATATTTAGAATATCTTCACTGCTTTGCTGTCAGACAGCCTGTAACAATGGGAAACTGAAGCCGTTATTCTCAAAGCCACCAGACTCCACTGACAAAAACAACAATTTTACTTCGTCAAACATGGGGGTTGTTGGACAACTGCTGCCGCCATCAGTTAGTGTGTGAGATAATCGTGATGGGCAAAGCAGTTCTTTAGATGTTACTGAATCACTAGAATCAGTTCATTAAAAAGATTCATTCAAAAGATTTGTTTAAAAGATTCGTTCACAGAATCGTTCAGTGCTTTGCGGGAAGAGCCCTGCGTCTGCCCTGCACTGGTGAGTCTCATTATTGGCCAGCCAAACGTTTAAAGTTTGTTTATCTGGAAACTAAGTCTGTTAATGAGGAGGTGTGTGGCCTCCTCCTGACTACATTAGCTGTTAGCTTGGAACAAACAGTGCCTATGAAAGTGTATCGTTGAGAAGAAATGATTTGAATCACTCAGGGATTGGGGTTACGTCGTTCACCGAGTGATTTGTTCACCGAATGATTTGTCACGCGGTAGGCAGTCCCTCCTTGCACCCTGGCTGCCTCGTGACTCGCAAATGATTCATCGTTCGCACCGACCAAATCGGCACTTCCACTCCCGGCCTGCACGCTCACTGCTGAGCTCAACTGAACTGAGAAATGAACGAATCAGTTCCGGAAGTGATTCAGTTCAGTACGTTCACTCAACAGATTAGTTCTTTTGATCGATTCGTTCGCAAACGACACAACACTATGAGATAAAGCACAGAAAATATTCCAAATATAACATATATCTAAACTGAAGTTGATGTTTTAGGTAGGAGGCTAACATACATTTTGCTTCAGCTTTGCCAATGGCAGTACGTTGTTTAGCCTCCGCATCTGTAGATTGGTTTGTTGAAGACGTTAGTGCACGTTGAGTTTTATTTTCATGAGGACTTAACCGGGAGATTGTCTTGTTTTCCTCTGTTCATTATTTTGCATCTACATAATTTAATGTTAACGACGTTCAGATATTGCTTCCTTTTTTTATTTTGCTCTTTGCGCTAAATTTGGAACTATTTAATATCGCGCACCTTCTGTGTAGGTAATGAGAGTTGTGATTAAATTTGGCGGAGTGATATATATAAAAGATGTGAGATGCCGCTATTGTTGTCGATTTTCAGTTGTCCTACGTTCTTTTCCGGACATTAAAGTGGATCTAGTTACACAGAGAAGCTGTTCCCGTGCTCTTACCTCACACACAGCACTTAATTTAGTAACTAGTAAGTTTATACGTAAGACATGAGAGAGAAACCTTACATTAGCAAAGCAACCAAGTGCGTAAAATAGGCAGAGCAGAAACATCGGATAGGTCGGACCACCGTGTTTTTATCTTTTAATGTTACAGTTATGGCTGAAAATGATATTAAAGTTTGCAGATTTTACAGATCTTTGCACTTGAAATCAACTGCCAGTCGTCCACCCAGAAGTGATTGTTGTTTTTAGTGCGACGTCATGGTGATTCGGTGTATTAAATTTGCAATTAATTCATAAATATAGAATCTGAACTTGCTGCAATGCAGTGTTTAGTGATGTGTAAAGTGTTGCTGCTAAAAACAGACAGAAGAGTATGCGGGTGTGTAATCTGCAGTTTTTATTCTTCAAAGTTAGCTTTATTTCTTGTGTCCTTCGTCATCACTGCGACTTTGCTGTTTAACTGAAATGTGCTCTGAGAGAATCTGGTGGTGCATCGACACCAGAATAAACACAAAGAGGAGGAGAGGAGGAGGAGGAGGGTGAACTTTTTTTTTCTCCACGCTGAAGTGATTTTGGGATCCTCGTGTTGCCATGGAGACGTATCTTCTTGGCCTTGTTCTGGTGTCACACACAGACACACACACACATACACGCTCCTCTTCAACTAGAGCCTCAGGTCAGCTTTTATCTTTGCTGTTATCAGGTGTGAGGAATGTTGGGAGGTGACAGTATGTACTCTATGATAGCTCTGCTGGAAGAACACACTCAGGTGCAGCTGTAGAGGTCGTATGAGATCAAACCGTCAGTCATAGTCCTGAATGTAACAACTATAAATCATGATGAAGCAGATTTCTTTTAACTGAATTATGAAACATTTATAGATTAGAAACCCTGCTCCCTGATGAGGATGTGTTTTTGGCTGAGCCAGTAAATTAAATATCTGACAAATGAAGGTACTTTATCACATTAATGCAAAACATCCAGTAAATCCAATATCACCATAAAGCAGTCCTGCTTATTGATTTTTAACACTGTTGCAAGCAGAGATATTAATGAGATAGATCATCACACTGACTCACACTCTTTATTTTACTGCACAGGTAACATATTGTCATAATAATGTGTTAGACAGGAGCTAATATGTAATTGGAAATTCACCTGAGACGCTGTGGGCTAATGGGCATGTAGCTACTTCCATGTTTCAGATGATACGTCATGTTTGTAGTCGACCAATGAAGATGAGTTTACATATCACCTTGGGTTCGTCCTTCACCTTCTCAAAATGATCCCACACTTTGGATTTCCTGCCCGACATGTTATTAGCTAGCCTGTAGAATAACCGCAGGTACCAGCCCTGGAAATTAACCTGATGAGGACACTTCCTGTGTCTGTCCTTTCAAATTAAATTCCCACATGGTCCAGTCATATAGGTTTGGATTTATTTTGACAAGGCGCAGCTCCTGATAGAGTTTCATGGTTTTTTGTTTTTTTTTTCTGCGACTAAGCGACCAATGAAATGTTGCCGACCTTTCTGGTTGACTTGATAAACAAACGTATTGTGTTGTGACTTCCATATCTCAGATTTCCAAGTAAGCTATTTCATAATTGCCGTACAGTTTTGTCTCGTAATTATGAGATATGGAAGTCATAATTATGAGATAAGGCCTCCAGTTGTGTTCGTCTGTGTGTCTCTGTTTCCTTTTCTTTGTTGAATGCAATGCACTTTCATTCATTCTGACTTCTTGTTCACACAGCAGAAGATTCAACAGTTTTATCTAATGTTTAAACTCCCAGAGTTCGACAGACACTATTGGTGTAATGGCCCTTTAACGACAGACGTCATGCTCTTGATTCTAAATCAGTGTTATCCTTCCTGTTTTCCAGAATGGCTTCACTCCGCTCTACATGGCGGCGCAGGAGAACCACATGGACGTGGTGCAGTTCCTACTGGACCACGGTTCCAGTCAGAGCATCGCCACCGAGGTAAATGAACAGATAATACACAGCACATACACACTTGTTCGCACACACGAGCCCAGAACAGCTTCTAATAGCCTCTCCTCATTCAGCCTCCCAGTAATTACACAGCAGCTTCTGTGGTGCAAATGGTAAATAGGTGGCTGCCACCAATGACTCATTCAGGAGACAAAGGCTGAACAACGTGAAGTCTTTGTGTGCCGAGCTGTAAGAAATAAATACAGAGAGGTTATTAACAGGAGAGCGTGACGACGGATTCATTCAGAGTGACCTTGACTGTCTCCAGAGGGAGGAACCAGTGACGTTAGCAGTCTGATATCTGTGTGTGTGTGAGAGTGTGTGTGAGAGAGTGCTACACTGTGAGTGTGTCAGTACCATCCATCATCTGCTGTAGTACCGGCAGACGGCCAACTGCCACTAAAGTGTGACAAACACGTCCTCATTTTGGCCAGATCTCTCCATCTGAGGCATATTTATGAGGCCAGTGCTTAAAATATTAACCACTCTTCTTCTTCTCGTATTATTATCTCTATTATCTCTTCTCTCATTATCTTTGTATGGTTTTAAATGTTTGATTATAGTGCCAATAAAATACCTGAGTTACAGTCCAGATACCAGAACAGTACTATTTCTAGCACGGAGTAGTGTAAGAAGTAGTCAGATATTTTACTGTAGTTAAGTAGAAATATTCATTAACTTCCGTAACCGCTTATCCTCTTGAGGGTCGTGGCGGGCTGGAGCCTATCCCAGCTGACATTGGGCAAGAGGCAGGCTTCACCCTGGACAGGTCACCAGACTATCACAGGGCTGACACATAGAGACAGACAACCATTCACACTCACATTCACACCTACGGACAATTTAGAGTTATCAATTAACCTGCATGTCTTTGGACTGTGGGAGGAAGCTGGAGTACCTTGAGAAAACCCACACTGAAGGACTCCCTCCTGGGATCAAACCAGGAACCCTCTTGCTCGCCTTGGCCTCCAGTGCAAACACACCCTTGAGACTAACGTCAGCTGTCGTCCCCACAAGAGGGCTACCTGGTTGATCCTGCAAGTAGCATATGTTCGTCTCAAAGATTAAGCCATGCAAGTCTAAGTACACACAGCCGGTCCAGTGAAAGTGCAAATGGCTCATTAAATCAGTTATGGTTCCTTTGATCGCTCCAACGTTACTTGGATAACTGTTGCAATTCTAGAGCTAATACACGCCAATGAGCGCTGACCTCTGGGGATGTGCGCATTTATCAGACCCAAAACCCATGGGGGCTGCCCTCTATAAACTTTAGCCGATTGCTGGCCCTCGTGGCGCCGACGTCTCATTCGAATGTCTGCCCTATCAACATTCGATGGTACTTTCTGTGCCTAGGGGAGCGCGAGGAACCTCCTTACATGGGGTAAACTGTAACACTAGCCCTTTTTACACTGCCAGATTTTCGGCGAATGTTGGGCCGTTTTGCCGGCAAGCTGCGAGCGTTTAGACACACAGAGCTGGATTGGCGAGTTGTTCCTAGGTTCCCAATTTTCCGCCTCGTAGTGTAGTCTTATTGGCGGAACCTTTTAGTTTAAACAGACCGAGTCTGCCTTCCTCAACGGGAGGTGCTGTTGAAGACTTGTGGGAGGAGCTGTTGATGACGCCGCACGTGCGACCCACTGGTGGTGGATAAACAGGAAACAGCTGATAGCAGGAATTAGCGAGCAGCTAGTAGCAAGAGGGAAACACAAACCTGAAAGACACTGTAAAGATGAGCAACTGAGGAGACAAGGAATTGCGCGCCCTCCTTGTCCTCACAAACAAAGAGGCCATTAACCGTCAGATGACGGGGACGGTGAAGAACGGGCCAACTTATGAGAGAATCACCAAAGGACTGACCAGCCGTGGCTTCCCTCCCACGTCACTGTTTACGTCACACGCTGAGCTACATGTTTTGTTACTTGCTCACGCCCCCTATTGCCCTGAAAAAGGCGCAGTCTGTATAAACAAAAGTAGGTAGGCGGCATTTTGCTGCACTCCCCGATTTTGTTTTTATACTGCCAATGCTGAAAAAAGACTGATTGGGCTTTCCTGCACATTTGCACAGTTCCTGTTTAAAAAGAGCTACAGACCTTTTACGTGGTTACACAGGGTCAGTCCTCTCATGCTTCTGGCCAGTCGACTGCAACACTGCCAAAAAGTAACCCACGAAATTTCATGAGAGACTGGACGTGTTTCAGCATATTTTCGGCTGACCTAAGTAAATTTCTTTGTCACAATTGTTTTTTGATCACTGAGCTGTGTCTGTAAGTCCCTGAATCCAACCATATATCATCTTAATAACTGTCTTGTTGCCTAAAACATAGCACCATTTGAGCTACGTAACCAACTCCCAGCAAGTGTTAGCTAGGTACGATCCAATTTCCACACAGCAGGGGTCGTCGTAAAGCAGTGTAACAAATGTTCAGTTTGAACTAAAGTCTTTAATTAAATGAGATATACTTTCTATTTTTAATTTGTCAGGTATCTTAAAGACACACAATTTAACAGTCTTGTCAATATTCATACATTCAGTGCTCATATTTGACATGTGGATCTAGATTACCCAGTCTTTGTACAACTATCGGTCCAACCACTGAATATCGACGACAGACGAACACATGGATGGATACCTTTCCTTCCCCTGATGTAGATGGAGAGTTAGGTATCTACATATACACATCCATCAATCAGTCACAGATGAAAAGAGAAAAATATGCAATATCCACACATACTGTGTATCCATCTATGTGTTAGACCTTCCAAACTGTCCACTGGTGGGTAGATGAGAGATGTACAGATATGGACTTGGATATCAAAACACCTGGGCACTGTGGTTTCTTTAGCAAACTTACTCAAACAGGAAGACATAGTGCATTGGTTGGGGACTACTTTCAGTGGTGGATTAATACACATTTAGTGCTCTCCTGAGTATTTACAGCAGGAGGATGATGTATGCCTGACTGACTCAAAATTAACTGCTGTATTGGTGCTCCTGCCATCCTCGTCTTTCCCTTCATCTCTCCTCCTGTCTCCTTCTCCCCATCCTCCATCATTCCTCCCTTTGTCTGCCTCCTTCTCCTCCTCACCACATCTCTCCTTCTCTCCTCCTCCGCCTCCTCCCCACAGTCTCCTCCAGCGGGAGACATGAGTGAATTATTCATGTAGGGAAATATATATCCATGTTTGAAGCAACCCACAGTGTTTAATAATTCATGTTTAACCATTTCAGCGTAGCAGCGGGCAGGACGGATCAGAAAACCCTTTGTTTTTTAAATCTTTTGTCTGAATTTGATCAGTTTTTTATTTTAGGTATTTTATTTTTGAACATAAGTAAAAACTACAGAAATATTCAACTTGTCGTGTTCTATAGTTTTGATTTGTGTGATTTTAAGTTAATATTTTCAGCTTATTTTGTTTCAGTGATGCAAAATTCTGCTGCGTCACTGCAAGTTTCCAGGCTCGCAGATCGAGATCAAACCCTTTCAGTGCCTTTATGTTCGCTGCTGCTGTTGTTGTCATCTCTTGAATTATTTTTAGGACATTAAACTGACTTTGTGTCTTTTTTCCTGAATCCGTAATGAAGCCGATTAAACAGGAGGGTAGTGCTCTGGGATGGCTTATGACTTTTGAATTTCTTTACAAGGCTAAATTTATGCATTTGAACATGCTTGTGTGCCTGTGGGTGTGCTGCGGAGATGCTCGTGGATCTGATTATGAGTGTGTGTTAGCGTGCGCGTGTTAGCGTGTGTGTGTACGTGTGGTTGTTTGTGTTCTCGCCTGTACAGTTTTGTGATCTCTGAGGGGAGCTTCTGCTTTGATGTGTGGGTGTAGTGATGCTGAGTTGGTTTTATCCAGACAGTCGGCATCCTGTGTAAACACACACACACACATACGTCTGTGCACACACATACACACACACACACACACAAATTACCCCCGTGTTGTTTTACTTGTGAGATATCTTTGCTTTTCTTTGATGATTCATAGATTCGGCTGCTGGTAGCCTCTGCTGTGTCTCATTTATTACACGGCCTGTGTGAGTGTGTGCAGTTAGTGTCATCTTGTTGTCTTTGTTAGCGAACATTAGCAGCTAAATTTCCTTTCGATCTGTCCGTGAGCGAGACTCTGAACTCCTCCTCAGGCACTTAAACTCTTTAGAGCATTAGCTAAAATGCCTGAATTGATAAGTGGTCATTAGATTACCCTGCACCTGTTAAAGGACCTGTATGAGACATCCAGAGAAATCTATGAGTCAGAGTCTGACTCAGGTTGTCTGCACACGGCTCTCAACATGGAGGTGACTTACGCTACCTTGTCAAAAAATGCTAACGTGGCCTGAATTAATATCAGAGTCTTGCTACCCTATCGAAAAATGATTAGAAGCGGGGTTAAGTGTACTGTACGGCTGTGATCACACTACAAGTGACACAGCAACAGCTACATTATCACCGAGTCACCACTGAAGTGTTGCTCAAGCACTCGTCTGCTACCTGCAACAAAGCACCTCCACTGAACGCCATCTAAAGTTTGTATTTGGAAATAAAATATTATGATCAGTGTCTTAGCCCCATTTTAATTTCACATTTCGCTGCTCCACTGTATCCCCATTTGCTCTGCAATACATAGAAAGCTAGCATACTGTCAGCTAACTACAGCTAAAAACAGACCACGTTATTGGTTGACGCCTCACTCCATCATCGGAGTGCTGAAAAAAGTTGAGGTTAGCGAAAATGAAATGAAAATAAATGGTTAAATAATAATTACTCAAATGTCTTAGCTGTTAGCTATCTGCTAGCAGCTAACATGAAGTATTCACGTGTTCCTTTTGTATTTTGTTCACAGGATGGTTTCACTCCGCTGGCGGTGGCATTGCAGCAGGGACACGACCAGGTGGTTTCCCTCCTGCTGGAAAACGATACCAAGGGGAAGGTCCGCCTGCCTGCGCTGCACATCGCCGCACGGAAAGACGACACCAAGGCCGCCGCACTCCTCCTCCAGAATGACCACAACGCCGACGTGGAGTCTAAGGTACTCTGTCTGTTCAACAAGCAGGACTACGATTCCCAACATGACCTACTAACTGACACAGAGAATTTATTTATTTTTTTCCTAATGAAGATACGATCCACCTTAATCCGGGCCCCATTATGCTGTGTGTAAATTATGGGCGTGGCTTCTGGTTATTTATTCACTGAGCTGGTGTCTGCCAGTTGGCAACGTGCTGCAGGTGTATTTGATTTCCTTAGAGATTTTAGATTTTTGATCAATAAATGAAGTTTGAATAAATGAAACATGTTAATTAATAAGCTTTAGGGGCCATGCTACCTGTTTCCCCCTATTTCCAGTCTCTATGCTAAGCTAAATCAGCTTAGCTTCATATTAAGTGTACAGACTCTACGCAGAGCCTACGTCGTGGCCTACACACATACCCTATGTCACTGTGCATTTATACTTGTGTGGTGGTGTGTGTGTGTCACTCTGCAGTTACACCTCCAAAACACTAGTCAGCGGCGGGGTTTCTGTGAAGTGCTGTAAAGTTTAGTTGATTCAAAACACACATTAAACACACATTAAACATGGCTTAATAGAGACAGTTTCAAACACAAGAACACAAATCAGCTTCACTATAACTCGCAGCATTCACAGACAAACACTTGTCTTTATCTGGACACATTTTCCCCACAAATACAACACGCTAACGTTATTAGCACAAGTCTATGGTATTTTACATTGAATAAATTAGCCTAGTGGCTGGCAAACATTTCCTCTACTCATATGAAGCCAGGGACAACAGCAACATTTAACAAAGGTAACGTTACAAAATTCGGCTCCATTCCAACTCACAAGGTTCACTGACAAAACAACTGTCTTATACTAAACACGTTTTCCAAACAAATACAACGTGCTAACGTTATTAGCCCAAGCCTATGGCATTTTACATTGTATAAATTAGCCTAGCGATGAGCGGAGATTTCCTCTGCTCATATGAAGCCAGGATAAATCACACACAAGACTTAAAATGCTATTTTTGTGGAGGCTTTTTAATTTATTGTTTCTTATTTGTGCAATTAAAGTAAATATAAGCGTTGTTTCCACTGAGGGAAATGGTTTCAGCTTACTAACATAGACAGGAGGGTTGCGTTGCCGTGACATTTCAGGGAAGGCTATGGAACTTTCAACCTACATCCTGCATCGTCTATTTCCTCAAAAATCTCTAAGAAAAAGAAGTACACATGCAGCATATTGCTAACTGTAACTAAACACCGGTTCAGTCAACGAAAAATTTTAAGTTGTTTCCATAATTAACTCATGGCATCATGGGGCTAGGAATATGTTTTGTTCTAGGTGTATTTTTATTCTGAATGTTATGATGCTTTTTGTTGGTTCCTATCGAAAAAGCAAAAAGTCCTGAACGTATTTTATGCAGGACAAACTTTCAACAAGCGTTTATATACCTGATAAAAGTCTCTAAATGTGTCACACCCTCAGTGCCACGCAGGGAAAGAGAAGTGTAGTTTTTGTCTTTGGTAGCTGAAAATAAAATGCAGATATATTTACCACCACAGTGCAGAAGAAGAAACAGACTGTAAGGGAGAGTCTCAGTCCATCATCCAGTTGTGTGTACCTCTGTTTGCCTTTTAGTTCCTGTCATTATCTCCGGCCATGTTCTCATATATCCATCCTACAGCTTGATGCAACTGTGGTGTTGGTGTTGTTGTGGTGCACTAACCACCCCATTCTCTCCTCCTCCTCCTCCTCCTCCTCCCCCTCCCTCTATACGTTCCTTTTTGTTACCCTTCCGCTTCCCCCCTTTTCCCTTCTAGATGATGGTGAATAGAACAACAGAGGTACATCTTGTCTTCTCTTCTCCTTCTCTCCTTCCTCTCCTGTCATTGCTCACTCATGGTCACCATTGCAAAGCCAAAGCCTTCTGTCTGCTAGCATGAGCGCTAAATGCTGGCATGAATGCTTTTGCTCACCTGTGTGCCTGTTTTTTAAACCCGCATCGCATTTTGACTTTTCGCTTTGTGTGCGTCCGGTGGCTTGCTGCTTTTAGGCAGAGATGAAATAAAAACCAGTAGAATTACTCTAAGTGTACCCCAGAAGCCATTTTGGGGTGAGATTACCTGAAGCCAACTTTCACATAGAAAATTCAGCATAATGTACATTTCCACAGCAGCAACAGAGTCGTGTTATACTCGCCATTTTGATGTTCTGGTTTCTGTTTTTTTAACGTAAATTCCAGTTTCATCCATTAATTCCAGCTTTTCTACTTTTCTGTTTTTCCTGAGCCATATTAAAGAGATAGTTTGACGTTTTTGAAGTGGGGTACTTCACTGTTTTACCCCAGTAGATGGTGGTCACCACGCTCCCATTTTGAAGAAGCAGACAGGAGTACTGCCACAGAAGCTGAGCAATGTACTGCTGTGGATGGGGGCAGCAACAAAATATATTTCAGTCACTTAAAAAAATCAGTAACAGGTTAAGTGTATGCTATGTTTAGAATATTTTCACTGCTTTACCTTGCCATCAGACAGCACGTTCCGACAGAGGAGGCATTAACGGCTTTAGTTCCCCATCTATGTTCTTGTCAAAGCCACCAGACTCCATTGAGAAAAACAGTAATTTTACCTTGCAGAACACAGGAGCTGCTGGTCCACCACTGCTATGTTCATTAAGTTGTGTTACCATGTGACTTTGGTGAATCTGAATGAACCCTTTTAAACACCAGAGTTGCACATAACACAAACAAACTGATAGATGCCGTGGTAGACCAGCAGCTCCTGTGTTCGGCAATGTTAAATCACTGTTTTTGTTTTCTGATCTATCCCTTTAAGCTGCTTTAATTGAAACATAAGACTTGGTGAACATTTTTCATAGCAGGAAGGCTGAGTTGCATTAATGGTAGTTTAACATCAATCAAGAAAATGTCAAAATGAAAGGACTGGAGTTAACAGATGAATGAAAACAAGAGACACACGACTCAATATGAATCAGCGCTGTGGAAATTGTACATAATACTGTTAATCTAGATGACAGATAAACATGGAGGGACTTTTGAAGTGGGAAGCAGGTGAAATAAACCTGTTCTTTGTAAAGGAACAAGGCCTGGTGTTCTCTGAATTTACCGTATGCACATAATCTTATCCAGAGAAAAAGCTGCTGCAGCAAAAAACCCTCATTTGCATTGAAATCGATTGAAAAACTGAAACAGAAAACACTTTTTGTCGATGTGTTTGTCACATTAAAAAGATGGCAGTGACCTACTTGCTGCTACTGCTGTTGTGTTCACAGACGACCTGAGGGTATAACACAATGACTATTTACTGATTCAATATAAAAAGTATTCTGTGTACATTTTCGAAAGACTTCACTTCCTGCTGCCCACTGCTGGATCTACCTATTAACTTTCTAGTCAAGCTGTGTATAATGTGGACGTACTTACAGTCTTTACACGTTATTTTAAACATAATTATCTTCATGGCCCCATGAAGATGTAGGCCTACTGCTTAGCTTGGAAGAAGTAGTTTTACATTTTAGGAAATGCTCTTATTCGCTGTCTTGTCGAGAGTTAGATGAACAGATGGACACCACTCTCATGTCTGTATGGTTCATATGAAGCTAAATACAAGTGTCAGTTAGCTTAGCTTAGCATAAAGCCTGGAAACAGAGTGGAATAGTTAGCCTGGCTCTGTCCAAAAGGTAACAGAATCTGTTTACCAGCACCTCTAAACCTTACTGATAAACACCTCTGCCTAACATACAGCGAGTGACCAAACTCCGGTGTATGAAGCGTGAAAAATTGCGCATGAGCGCCAACATCATTCAGGAAGCCTGTGGAGCCCTGATCAAGTCTACGAGCAGTTTGCTGTTGCTCTGAAAATAGGTTGGAGGTGCCAGAAGCTATGCTAGACTGAGGGCGAGCGGCTTTTCAAACAAGCGACACGTCGCTTAGCGTGTTTGCTAACATAATGGGAAACACTGAGGTTAGGAAGAGATGGTACTCGACATATCTTGTTTGTTTAATCCATATGGAAAGCATGAAACAACTTCCTGGAGGTCCCTAACTAGCTGTTTCCCCCTGTTTCCAGACTGTATGCTAGGCTAAGCTAACTAGCTGTTGGGTCCATGTCATTGGTTCGACAGCCCATTGGTTCGACATCCCATTAGTCCGACTGTCCGCGATGCTGAACGGCTCGCGGTGGGCGTATGGTGCGCCGCGACCGGCTTGAGGCGGAGCAGGCTCACCGCTTATGTGTTTGTCACTTTCTTTTTCATTTTAACCCACACCATGATCTTTTCCTGACCCTAACCAAGTGGTTTTTGTGCCTAAACCTCACCAGACCTTAACCACAGGGCATCATGATGATTTCGGACCAAATTCCTCGGGGTTGTGATTGATCACAAATTAAATTGGAAGAAACACGTTGAGTATGTAAAAGGGAAAATCTCAAAATCAATTGCAATCATGTACAAAACCAAAGACATGCTAAATCACAACAGTTTATATTTAATTTACTGTTCATTGATACTTCCTTATTTGACTTACTGTGTGGAAATATGGGGATCTACGTTTAAAACCACAATTGATAAAATTGTATTACAACAAAAACGAGCCATACGCATCATAAACAAAGCCGGTTACTATGATCATACTAATCCATTATTTTTAAATTCCCATGTTTTGAAGTTTAGAGACTTGGTTTATTATAGAACAATGCAAATCATGTTTAAAGTAAATAATAAAACACTACCAGACAGCGTGCATAAGTTCTTCATAGTGTCTCAGAGTAAATATGAGTTGAGAGATGGAAGCAAATTTATGTTACCAAAAGCTAAAAAAGAAGTTAAAGGAAGATGCATTTCTTTTAAGGGGGTTCAGCTGTGGAACAGTGCTGATCTCAAACTAAAGCAATGTACTTCCTTTGTTATGTTCAAGAAATCATTATGTGCATTTATATTTAGGAGTTATGGCTGTAATTGAAAAACAAAAAAGGGAAAAGAGTCATGTATGTGCATGAGTACGTATGTATGTGTGTATATATGTATGT